CCTGATGCCGTGTCGCTTTCTCCAGTCGAGAGCGGTAACGGGCTAGACACTAGTGACACCCGTGTTCAGTCCTCACTCCGCCCGCGCTAACTTCAATGCGCAGAACTGGCGTCGGATTCAAAATCACGCTCAGTGGCAGAGAGCAACCAGAAGTGCAACCAGAAGAGAGGGCGCAGACAAGCAGCGCGCCTAGCGGTTAGGCTGCGTTTATACTTTGCGGCAGCGTCCACCAAGGTCACTAGCGTTCCGAGTGTTCGGCGACTAGGAAAGTTTAGATATCGATCTAGAGTCTGCCATCATATACCAGCGTGACCAGCAGCGTTCGGAGTGGAGAGTATGGGGCAATAGGAGGGAAGCAAACAGCTGGAGGAGTGTGGGGATTGGAGGGTAGCAAGACTGCTGGAAAGACTATGATGCCATGGGAGGGTACCAGCTGTCTGCTAGCCTTCCATCTCCCCATACTCTCCACTGCAGCTAGTCGCTGGTGGACGCTGGCAGACGCTACATTGATAGCTATACTTCGCTAGACATCGAGACATTTGTGGTCGCTTTTAAATGCTGGCAGACGCTGGTAGACGCTAGATCGATAGATAGATAGATCTGGACTCTCCTAGTCGGCGACTGACCGCCAGACGCTCGGAGCTGGTGGACGCTATTGGTCGCTGGTGGATGCTGCTACGCTGGCGTACGCTGGAAGCGTTACGCTACGCTGCCGCAAAGTATAAACGCAGCCTTAGGCTGCGTTTATACTTTGCGGCAGCGTAGCGTAGCGCTTCCAGCGTACGCCAGCGGCAGTGCCGGGGAGAGGATGGATATCGATCTAGCGTTCCCAGCGTCACCAGCGTAACAGCGTTTCACCAGCGTTTTGCTGGCGTTTGCAGCGGCAGGGGAGTAGAGACTATGTGGCCGTAAGAGACGCGCAATCGATGTGTATTGTAGAGACTATGTGGCCGTCAGAGACGCGGAATCGATGTATATTACGCGAGTGAGAAACGCGCAATCGATGTGTTTTGTACCCCCCAGCTCTCCCATAGTCTCTACTCCCCTGCCGCTGCAAACGCTGACAAATTACGCTGGCGAAAAGAAAATTACTAAGTAATTCAGCCCAATATTAATAGCATTGCAATAGTGGTGCAAGCTGGAGAAACACGCTGCGCTACCTAAGCAGTTACGCTGTGACGGCTGGAAACAGCATAGATCGCATATGCCATTTCTCTCCGCGCACTGATGCTGAACGTACGCTGGAAGCGCTACGCTACGCTGCGCTACCTACGCTACGCTGCCGCGAAGTATAAACGCAGCCTTAGACATGTGGCTGGCCGCAGGCGGAGGAGGTGGTATCCGGGTATCACTCCCTTTGGCCCTGTTTCCGTGCGCACTTGACTAGAGAAAGTGGCACACTAGTCTGCGAACCCGCTCCCCTCACATATGGCAAGCACCAGATCCACGGCGCAGTTTGACTTTTTGCCAATAGTGTGGAAAAAATGCAGCTTTCGGCTCTCAGCATTAATAAGCACGGAGGAGCTGTAATGCTCAGCCATGCTCATGAACCCCATTGGCACTGGTGTATACTAGTTTTAATTACGAATAATGGGCATATTCCTGATTCTTTTGGCAAGGAACACGCAAACAAACCTACCGATGAAAGTAAATGGCAGAGAGTGTGAGAGGTATGATAAAGACAAGGAACGACAGTGCACCGATCGAAGAATTTAGTGGGTAGTAGACTATCGGTGACAGGAAGCACGACACGTATCTGAAAGTCATTTGCTTACATAATTGATAGACTACCGCGTAGACTTTGGCAGCTTAAGAACTTCATCAGTTCCGAGCTTCTGATCTCTTGTAACAATTTTGCTTTGGCTACCAAATAGGAGTCATACAATGACAATATTAAATATAAGTTCGTATCAAAACTGACTGTGCAGCGACGCTCATGGATTGCATTCTTGCTCGACACCCTGGTGGTGCTAACTTCGGCGCCAAGGAACCACGCCGTTGGCCCAATACCGGCACTGAAAATGGCATTGCAAATACATTCAAGTTCAAAACACCGTAGGCTAGAAGACAAGCCCCCACCTGAAGACGAAGAGGAAAACGACAAACAGCAGAAGGAATCCCCAGCCCACCCACGACTCCTTCGTGCTGTTGAAGTAATACGCTAATAACATCATTGAAGTGTTCACAGCAGCGAGGAACAGTAAAGAGCCGAGCACCAAAACACGACGACCTAGCTGAAGTAGACGGATTTGTACTAACCATAAATGTACCGAATAACAATTCAGGGAACAGCTTGGATCATCATTGTAGTAATCTCATCAGTTTGTTGTTAAGGAACTTTTTGAATCTTTGATTCCCTTCCTTTTGGTTGCTTTGCTCCATATGTACCCCCCTCTCCCTTCTCGACAGTTAAGACTTAGGGGAATTCAAAATTTGAGTGGAGTGACTTTTGTGGGCTTGCCATTGCAGTTGGTAGGTTGTAAAGGGATGTTGCACTACTTATCCGAATGATGCACCCTGTTAATGGTTTTATTTGGATTTCAGAACTTTAGAGTCATTCGAATAGGAGTTTTAGCCCTTTAGTAAGTTTCATAACATTCATCAATTGAGGTAGTGTCTATACCCCTAAAGACGTTCGTATTTGCTCTTGTAGTGCTGGGGGAACTTTTTTGATGAGTTTTTGCGGTTTTTCTCACTTTACGTGTCCCCCCCCCTCGACAGCTTGATCAGAGGAGAGAATTAGGGGGATCGTACTAGACCACCCCTTAGGGGGGTAGTACGGACACGACCAAATTTCCCAACTAGTGATGTGCCCTGTCGACAGCTCGACCCTGTTAGAGGAGGGAGCAAGGGGAGTTGTATCGAAGCACCTCATGGAGGGAGGATCCTTTGGACTCCACCAAAATCCCCATCCAATTAAGTACCCTGAAAAGACAGAGATAAAGTTCCTTGGATTTCACTTGTGTTTCCCTTGTTCTGCTGAAAATATCGAAGGACAACTAACTCGATCAACTGCAATTGTGCTCAGAATTGCTCCCAGCGTGCCGGACAGCCCTGATATACAATTGGCCAGTGATGCAGCATGTTCCGTGAAACCGATTGATTGCAGCAAAAACGTTCCAAAGAAAGAAACGGCCAGTATTCCACTGAAAGTTCCACTTCATTCTGCAGTGAACAATTAGAAGGCTTGATTAATGGTTGAAATGAGACTAATTAGGAAACC